TTTATATTATACATAATGTTCATATTGTATAATATACTGTGTTGTATTGTATCCAATTTAATTATAAATTTATACACATTGTTTCTCATACACTGTTAAGGATTAAATATTATATCAAATTATTTCCTTGAATTTAAAAATATCATATAATGGAAATGAATGCTTTGGAAGGTAATAAAGTTATTTTTTTGTACTTATAAAACCATCATTTTTGCATAAGATATTCTATATTATAATATATTTATTGTTAGAATCATATTAGATACAATGGTTGTAGAAAAACTGTTACATTAACTGAAGAAATATAAAATATTTGCACTTTTATCATTAATATAATTTCTTTATTACAGACTTGTTGTAAGTTATTACAACGGCGACGTCGTGTATAACCTCATCGAGATTTTCAACAAACAGCAGTTAATACTTCTAGTGTTTTTGGCGTTTTTGGAACATACTTTCTTTTATACACTACAGTGGTGTATTATAGACACAGTGCATGGAAAATCGGAAAAAAATTTACAAAAGTATGACTAATGTTCTCTGTAAATAAATTTATGTACAGATTTAGGTATTAAAATAATAAATTGATAAAAAAATATTGTCTTTAAACTGCAAAATTCTTATATATGTTTATTGTTTAAAGCCAAAATTGTAATAGTCTTTGTTATATTTATTGTTATTTTGCATTATTCTTCCATATCGCCTTATATCTTATGTATATTTTATTAATAGAACTTTTATTTATTTTAAGAAAAAATAATTATTTACCAAGCCAGAAAGTGATGCTTGTACTTTTGCAAAGTTTTATCTATTTACAAACTAAATATTCTTTAAATAATTTTAACAATTCAGCTATAAAAATTATAGTGTGAAGAAAACAGTCAGATTAAGCTTCATATTTTACATAATACTTTAAAGTCATTGTAGTACGGAAGGTACAATACAAATTTAAAAAAATGATAACCTCAAGCCGATTGCAACTTTATATACTGGTGAATGTATTAATTCATCGGTTCTTCCCCTAAAAAATTTATGTATGACACAACTAAAATTCTAGTGATATTACGTCTGAACCATTTCTGCTATTTAAACTGTTTTTTTTTTACTCATAAAGTAGGTTGCATAAAGTAGCTTTCCTTCCTGATATATAAAGTTCACCTATGATGAATTTGATTTATAACACAGACATATACATAAAAATTTAAACTTTAAATATTCATCCAAAGGATTAAGGATCCTAACCCTAGTGTTGAGTAAATTACGAAAGGATTAATTTTTTTTTGATAGTAGAAGACTGATAATTTTTTCACAATTTGATAAAATTTATTGTAGTGCTTACATATATTATTGTAACTACCTGCAATATATGATATTTTAGGTGCCTGAACTTGATATGCTATCTAGAAATTATTGATTGTATTATCTTATTACATTATTTTGTAGAATACCTAAAAATAATATTTATCTTATGATAAAAAATATGAAATTGGCTGACATTAATTAACTTAAACACAAACTTGATAAAAATAACGTGTCTAAGACTCTTTAAGCCGAAAAGTAATTAGGTACTTTAAAAGATCCCGGAATTTAGTGAAAAATAATTAATCAATTTGCAACACAAGTATTGAATATGTTCTTGGTTATGAAATGATTTCATTAATTAGCATTGTTTTAAATTCATAACTCTTTCTCTATAAATATTTACGCTTACTGCAAATTTCTTAGTACTCTAAAGTGAAATATATTGTATAAAAATACATAAAGTTATGAAAACAAAATTATAACATTTGAATTGTATTTAAATATACCTCTTATGAATTTGCTTTTTGGAGATTTTGCAAAACGAAAACATTACGAAATCATAAAATAAAATTATTAGGTTGAAACCATAAGAAGATCGAATTAATTCTGACGGCCTACAGCTAGGTTTAATTTTGGAATTGTTATTAGTCTATAAACTAGTATTGATCGGCTTTTAAAATATTCAATTGTTGCTTTGAGCGTTTTTAAATTTATGTATTTGATATTTAGCCTAATATAACTAATTTGGTATTTTTTATGTTAGAGAGACCAATCATCCGCAACAATTTTTTTCGAATGCTTTGGAAATGGTGGGAAAAGGGAAAAGATAGGAAAGGGTGAGAAAAGGGGAAAGGGTAACCGGCTCTCTCACTCATCGGGCGAAACAAAGCTATTTAAGACTAATTCACACCGATCTTTTACCGACCACCAGTGATAAATTACTATAATAAATTTATATGGTCGTAGAATTAATTTATTATTAAGTATTGCGTTATTAATTTTAAGTACTAACAGATGTTTTTAAAATTTCTTCTGGCAAGTTTGATTTTTTACTTTTACATGACACATGTCAGTAAAGCCTTTGATGATTTTCACCAGTAAGACTTACGGAATATAGATTTTTCCTATGTTCTTCAAAATCCTTAAGTTCCATCATTTTAACATATATTACTTTCAATCCCACTTAACTTCAATTTCATTGGGTAATCTGCTTTCAAACGAAAGATTTTAAAACCCAAAAAAAAACCACTAGTAGTTAGTATTTGATTTGAGTTTTGTGATTTTGTGTCAAAATTCTATCAAACAAAACCTTTCAATTTGTTGAAACGTAGCTTTCCATTCGTTTTGACTTAATCACTATCCTACCTACCTACCTACCTATCAGCCTATCAGAAGCCCACTGCTGAGCAAGGCCTCTTTCTCATATGGAGAAGGTTTGAGCATTAATCACCACGCTTGCTCAAGACGGGTTGGTGATTTCAAACTTATAATTGTGAAACTATAAGTCCAGGTTTCCTCACGATGTTTTCCTTCACCGTATGTCAGTGATGTCTAAATACTCTCAGAAAGTACAGTACTCAATATCCACCTTTATATAATTAATTGAAATTACATCAAACTTGCTTTTCATCTACTGCATTTTGCCATTAGGCCAAGTATACTTCATTTATTTCATTAAAACAATTAATTAGTCTTGCAAAAAAATCCACTTACTCTACTTTGCCTGAAGTCAAATGAAATATGATAAATTGAAATTACACGACGACCATTACTGAAAAGGTTTCTCAAATTTTTGTGACCACCAATCACAAAAGAATAAACTGTAAATGTTCTATATTCTGTAATTAATTCAACATGAAATATAACTTTTTGACATCGATGATATTAGTGATATTAAATCAAATGAATGTGTTGTAACTGACTATTGCCCTCTTAGTTAAGCACACTAATTCCAATTATAAGTGGTAGACATCTGAGTTATTAACTTTAAGTTAAAATTATTGATTTTGTATGTTACTTGATACTATTAATTATATCATGTTCTGTACTTATTAACAAGGTCTTAAGAAACTTATCAACTTTATTATTGTTTTTAACAACTTGGAAGTATTTTTCAATGCAAACTAAAACTCAATTATAAATTATCTCGGTAACTGCAGCAGCTTTTTATCTTTCTCGTGTACATAGTGCCTAAGTTTTTAGATTTTATAAGTTTTAAGAATTTCCAGAATTACGAACATTTTATATCACCGTTCATTTTTAACTATGTGGTCCTCTCCGCAGACATTCAAAATAGCCCCAAATACCCGCGATTTACTCCCTAAGATAACCAATGGTTACCCCCATCGATTGCGATGAGACGGGACACCACGGGATTACTTTTATATTTATCGTGATGCCCCCGCAAAATTATGAATGCGTTACGAAAAACGAAGACGCCCTTACAACATAAATTTTAGCCGGGATTTACCCTTGCTGAGCGGGTCACGGAACTGACTCTCTGGCTCTCGCAATCACTGTTTTAGGGTAGCTGCATCCCTTCTCCTACCCTCTAATGGGATACAGAGACACTTTTTATTCCATTTAATAGGATGTCATGATTACTGAAGAGAATTGAGCACCTCAAAACATCCATATAGTAGATGGTGGAGAGCGACTCGAGAAATCAGATAGGCTGGAAGGTGACGTATCTCTTCAGCCTCATGTTGGCCCACGAGGACCTTGATCATCAGCGTTCAAGCAAGTTGACAACTCTTTAAGTTGTTTGACGTACGTCCCTTTGAGATTATCAGACTTTTTAACAGTGTTATGTAGGTTATAAGAGCCACTCTGGTCTCCATTAAAACTTTGAGCTGATTACTGCAGAATCCGGGGCATCACCTTCCAAATAAAAAAAACTCAACTTTGGGATCCGCCACTCTTCAGCTCAATAAGGCGCTCCTATATTTTACAAATGCCCGTGACTGCACTACTTTTTTGAAGTTGGAATCAATCGTTCTCTCGGTAAGGGCTAGCAAGGCGGCATTCACATAAAAATCGCAAATTCTTTCATATTTTTTCTTTAATTATATATTTATAATAATCAAGTTGTAACACATATGAAAAGGAATGTATAAAGTTTCGATGGTTTTAAATTTTCATTTGTGACGGTCATTTAGTAGCAGTTAATGGTTTAGAGATGGGAAATAATAAAAAGTTTACTATTTAAATGTTTTAATGATAATAAAACCATACATTGATTGATTGAATAACGAAAAGGAATAAAATTCGGTTAAATTCTACAAAAAAAAAATCATTAAGGATAATTTATTTATCACAGTACCATGGTTAACAGATATATCATAAAAGAAACAACATGATGGCTTAGAAATAGGTGACATCTATTTATTTAAATAGATAAAACCTTAAAATTTTGTTCTAATGTACCTAGAACTATAAGATAAATAAATTAACTCACCACTTTGTATAAATGAAAAGCATGCCTTTATCACAGTCACGCTTAACAAAACTCATTCAAAACACATTTCAAGTACATAACAAAAATTACATTCTCTCCAATTTACAAAGCACTCAACTTATTTGCTATATCAATAACATTTTAGATACCAATATTACAATTATCTACCCGACTGAGCTACATCGATTAACGTAAATGCCTTTTATTTGTGTTTAAACCTACTTATATCTACTCAGTTATTTTATCGTACAGCACTCAATTTCCATTTGAGGAGCAAGAAAGCAGCTGTTCTAAGAACAAACAGAGTAACTGTCAGTGCTAAGATATCCCACCAGAAATTGTTAGGAGACATGGCAATATCTTTAAGAAACGTGCGTGTGTATCTGAAACAAGAATTTATATTTAATCATATTATTGTAAATACATATGACTTCATGTAATCCGACATTTAATTGAAACTTATATTTTGCGGATATACTACGCGACTTTATCTTTGATAAAAACTACATATTCTCGACGTTTCACGGGCAGATGAGAGTGATCACGGTTGCTGTTAAGTAACCAAAACGTCGGGAGTATGTAGTTTTTATCAAAAATAAAGTGGCGTAGTATATCTGCAAAATATTAGTTTCGTTTAGTTGACTCACGCAAATCTCAGATCTCATTTATCCGACATTGTTAAACTATATATATATTTACCTGTAATGGCAATATTTAGCTTCGTTGCATTCCAAGGTAGGTCTGTCAAGCCCGTAGATAGCACCAATATATCCTTCCAATCCGTACCTTAGATAAGACACATATGATCCCCAATATAAATAAGGTGGAAGGTCTCGTAATGTTACTCCGAATCCCGCAAACATCATCATTGGAACTGATAAAGTTGGACCCAGGAAAGTACCATTCTGGAATAAGAAACACCAGGTTAAATGATAAACAGTACAATAAATGTCATGTACAATGTACAATAAATGTGGAACTATAATATATTATATAACGTTAATTTGTTAAAATTTGCTTCTCAATTTAATATATAATGTACTCGTACGGCAGGATAACGTTAATAAAATTGATTGACAATAAAAAACATGTGAAGCGAAGCCACAGCCATAGATACAGAAATGGATGTAGCCACAGCTACTGATAAAATTTTGTAACGTAGATGTATTTTATAAAAATTCTAAAAAGTTAAAATTTAATTATGTGTAATTGATAAAATACTTACAACAACATTGAAAATAGCTCCGACCATAAGCCCAAAACTCTGTGCAACAAGCACAGTATAGATGGAAATGGCAAAGAACATTGCGAATCGACCCGGTTCCAGCGGCTGGGATGACATCAAGTAAACTATTACACTGAATATGGCACATGATATAATCTGTAATAAAAAATTAAGAATAATAATCAGTTTGATAAACCATATATTACAGTAAAATACATAATTTAACAGCAAATGTTTTATAGGTTCAAGTGAAATACATATATTTTATTATTTCTTACATAAAATAATTATGTATTTAAATTTGTTGACAAAAGATTTTATAATAAATACCAATATTATGACTGTTATAAACTAATAGTATATGCATAAGAATCACATTAATTTTGAGAAAGTCATAGAATTCAAAAATATTTTGCCAGACTAGTGACAGATCTGAATATAAACAGTTATCAGACCTAATAGCAATTTAGAAAAAAAGTACAACAATACGAAGTGAGACCTTGGACTTTGTTCACATTTGTGGTAGTATTGTTATCTAATATATTTATTTTTGAGGTAAAATAATCATACATTTTTTTATGTTGAGTATTATTGTCAATCACATACCGAAATTGGCAAGTCGACAACGTTGATAGATATATAGTAAGATCCTAAAGAGTACCAACGATTAAAATGTTCTTTTAACAGAATTGACATTTCCGAAGGAACTGAAATGAAAAAAGTATTGAAACTTTAAAATACATAAAATACTATAGTAGTCTTCATAAATCATATAGGAAAGAAATAGAAATAGCTCGTAGAAACATTATAAAAAGGAACTAAAACCAAATCAAAATACTTACAAGTAAGGATAGTCAACATCATAGGTGACATCATATGGTGCATCAGAATAGCAAATAGTAGATTATAGTTTTCAAGAACTCGGGAGCCTTCATTTCCAGCATTAATAAACAAAGCGCCCAGCATAATTCCAACCACTATATTAACTATTATTCTAAGATGTGTCATAGTCTGTAATATAAAAAAAACTTTATGTTAGTAAGAAAAGCTGAGCAATGAATATAATAATAAATAATCATATTAGATTACTGCACATCAATTTCAAGGGTGGGACGAAAGAACTTCCTCTATATATATAATATGTTGTACACAACAAACAATACATAGCTCTACAGATCAATTTTAATAAATAATTAGATACTTGGACTTACAGGATCACGCTTCGCCTTCAAAAACCCTCTTTTAATGAGTACCGATCTCTGATTAGATTGTGAAGTCTCTTCTACACTGCTTCCAGAATCCTGTTCTTTCATTACACTTAAAGGATATTGTTTTCTGAGGGCTTCCATAGTTGCTATGGACTCCCAATTATCAAACCAGTTTAGTGCTTTTCCATTTTCAGCTTTATTAGTTAAAATATCAATTTTATCTTCACCGTATTCACCACACGCTAATTCAATAACTACAAAAATAATAATCATTAGTACATTTTTTAATTACATTTCATATAAACTAACATGAAGTAGCAACACTCACTATAGTCAGCAGGGTTATGATATATAGGACATGGGATTCCAGCTTCTTCGAGATATGGGACCATGTTTCTAGTGGTTCCTTGATAAAGGCATTTTCCAGCTGCTAGAACATAAACCTGATCGAAAAAGGCGAAAAGAGAGGCGGAGGGTTGATGAATTGTACAAATAATGGTACGGCCTTGATGGGCAAGGCTGCGACAGAGTTGTACTACTTGGGTGCATGATGAACTATCCAGACCCCTGAAAATAAAAGAAACAAAGGTTATTGTTTTGTTTTAGATTGAATAAAATTGATTTATTTTAGACTCATAGTAATAATAAAATCTTATGTGGTTATATATACTTTTTAATATGTAACACTGAACAAAAAAGTATCTATTTTACATGTTATAAAATGTAGCACATAAGCTATGTATAATCTTATATTATGTGTAGTTCTTGTTTGTTTTTACATGAGATAAAAGGCCTTACGTTGTAGGTTCATCTAGAAACATAATTAGAGGGTTATTGATAAGCTCCAAAGCGATAGATAATCTCTTCCGTTGCCCTCCCGACAGCTGAGCTCCTCGTGTATTCATATGTTCATAAAGACCGAGATTTGTTAAAATATCTTCTATCTGCAAATAAAAAAATAGAATTCTTTAAGAAAGAAAATTTATTTCTGGGACTTAATTAATTGTTGTTACAATTAACAAACTGATAAAATATAAAACCAGTGAGAGAATATATTTGGGGCATTGGGGCAACTATTTTTCAGTGATAAAATTTGTGTTATATGTATATTTTAATTTAATATAAACTAAAAAGATGAATTCAAAGAATGAGTATTATAAAGTTAATATGTTTTACTTACGACTTCACCCTTCTCGTACTTGTCTAATTTGGTGGGTAGTTTAAGATCAGCGGCGATAGACATGTTTTCACCTACTGTAAGCAGTCCCTGAATTCTGTCATCCTGTTGAATGTAACACGACATTTTCTTGAATCTTTCTGTAATATAAATGAGATTACTTAATTACAATTATAATAATATGTATATAAATTTTTATATATTTTATTTCAGTCGGCTTGCTGATAATAATATTTTTAATTAAAATGAACATTGCCTTTGAGACATGAGTCCCATTTAGAATATCAGGTTTATTTTAATCAAAGTTTAATTAAATTAACCCTTAATAGTATTAATACATATGTTAAATGTCTTACTCATAATTCTTCCCCTTCCATTAATAAATATAGCTCCACCGACGCCAGTGATTCTGTATCCTGATATAACATCTAATAGTGTTGATTTGCCAGCCCCAGAAGGACCCATGATCGCAATAAGCTGCTTAGGTCGAAATCTGCCATTCACCCCATGAAGAATCTGTTTGCTTCCTGAAAAGAAGTGGTATTTTTTTATAAATTAGAAGGTCAAAATAAAAGATTAATTTCAGGGAATTAAGACCTGCTAGCTTAGTAATCAAGACCAACTTAAATTAATATACAGTTGTTGTGACAAGATAATAATATGTTCATAAGAATTGAAAACCTTACCGATTTGAACTTGACCTTAGCTTTAAGAGATTCACGAATATATCATACATAAACATATACGTTTAGACCAATAATAATCCTCAATATTTGTCCTGTTATTAAGAAAAGACCTTTAAAAAATTGATTGAAGCGTAAAATTATAATTCATTTTTAAATTAATTCTATTTTCCTTACACAAAACAAAAAGTAACATTTAGATGTTGTATTTAAAAGAATATGAAATAATTGCTCTTAATATTCTAGCAACATATTTCGTCACATTAATTTGCTATATTTATTGTGTTAAATGGTAAAATCTGTTACTAATACTTATTAATTTACAACATCGTAGAAATACAATACTCTTGATCTCGTTCAAAACCCTTTTATTACTCAAAGTGATCATTTATTTTGAATTAATTAAGTTTAAATAAATATTACTTCAAAATGAAAACAACTTAATTATTTGTGGGATACAAGCAACCAAATACAAATATAAATGAATATTGTAATTAAATACGCATTAGGATAATTATATTTAAACATTTAATAGAACACGTGAGAGAAAACAAAACATACGAAAACAAATGTTAATTTAATGTCGAAGGTCATAAAAATTTAAATAAATCTTTACAAAAATTTTAGGTTCACATGGCAATATGACTTGACATACTGACACAGACTCATATCTATAAATGTGTTTAGATAAAAATACGTTGTCTGAGTATAAAATAAATTTAAATACAAAATAAATACAACAATTTTGGTATTTTGATAAGTTTGTTTACACCATTTTAAGACATACATAAATATCAATTGTATTGTTAATGATATCAAAAGTATTCATAGATGAGTTTTTACAAGAAATGATTTTTAAGAAGGATAGAAAGAAGAGTAAAAATTTATTACTTTCTCTTAATTGTATTCAGAAAAGTTTTAGCGAAGACTGTTTTACTTGATTTATTAAAGTGCCTGTTAAGAGTTATCATATTCTCCTAAGAATTTGACATGTATGCTGGTATATTTCATTGGCGGCAAATATCAAACAAGAATAATAAGTTAATCTTTGAGACAGAATCAGAACGAATGCAAATTTTAATACTGTTTTCAGTTTTAAGAATTATAATTAATAAATTGTATTAATAATTATTCTAATTGTTCTAATTCTGTATTCACTGATGAATCAAACAGTGGATATCATATTACCAGCAGTGGATAAGATTACATGTAGTTTTAGGTATAAATTTATCATGGTGGCTAGTTTTGAAATACGACTCCCTTTTGACTAAAACGAGTTCTTTATCGAAATCACCAATCAAATTATAAAAATGATTTGAATTTAAAATTTTCTTTATTTTACTTAAACATATAAATGATAAAGAAATATATTTCACGCGGATGAAGTCGCAGGCACTGTTATACTTGTTCTTAAACAAAACAGTTCGATCTTACTAATACTTCATTATCTTTAAACCTTTGTTCCATTGTTTCTATTAATAGCTTCAATTTGAATGTTTGATGTTAAAACTATAAGAAAAAGTATAGTTACTTTCAATCAGATACATATAGATACCCAGTTAAGTAAATACAGGTAGGTACATTCCTCATTTTAGACTCTTTATATATTTATATATAATATATATTTATAGATAATTTGTTTATGTTAAATCTTCCGTGATTTCTTATACCGATAACCTCCTTGACGTCATTCATGTGATATAGATAATTAAATTTCATACTTTATAGTTAAAATACCTACATCATAGAACAGAGGATAATTACAATTGAATAATTTAAATTCTACATATAATGCGTAATGAAATCTTGCTGATTACTATCTGTATATATTTATTTAATTTCATATATTTAATTCATATATATTTGCATACATAACATATATATATATTTTTTTTATTTTATCGCGTATTTGGACTTTGGATTTGTTGTAATTGTACAATAGATAAAATATATATACATAAGTATGTAGACTGTCACTTAAATAATGTTAAATTATCATAATTATACAATATAATTTTAGTTATTTTTAATATTCAATTGACGTATTTAATTTTAAGTTAATTTAAAACTAGATGTGGTATAATTAGAAAACTTGAAGGTTTACTTTTAAAATTTTACTCAAAATACTAGTTTTATTTCGATCGACTTTATGAATTTTAAACAGTATTTTATATAATTTTTTTGTCATATTAAATGTAAAGAAAATTGCCAACTACGATGTTTGACTTATTTCATAATTCAATTATTATCCTTTCTTAAACTCTTTTCTTAAGTAAAATAGTAAAAGAAGGTAATTTTTTTGTATTAATTCGCCATAATATATAGTTACATAATATATAGTTACATATTAAAGTTATTGTTATTCTAAGCGTAATTAGTGTAACAATTAAGTTACGTTTTGTAAAACTATCATGATGTTTTGTAAAAGTAAAAAAAAATATTATTTCTAGGATAATCGATGTTCCTTATTCACTTTTATATATTGAATATACCCACAGGTAACCTTTTACAAAGCATGTACATTTATTTCAATATAACTTTAATAAAAGAATTTAAATTGTTTTTCCAATAGGTCGATTAATAAATATTTTCAACTTCTACGTGAGCGAAGTTGCAGAGGAAAACTAATCTTTTATATACAATTAATGACGAGTATTACATATAATTTAATTGAACTTTGTACTTGGACTTTGACTTTATAAAGTACAGACTATCATCAGATGACCTCTAAGTTCACATAATTGCGTAACGTAAAAACGCTGAAATAATATTACTACAAATAGTATGTAAAAAAATATGCTCTCGAGACATCCCTTTTAAATAGAATAATAATTATATACAATCTTATATTTTTCATAATATAAGATTATATATAATTATTATTCATAGGAGAAAGAAATTTTTACGTCAACATAAACTAATTAATTACTGTTTAAAAGAGTCCTTATTTTTTTTAACTTTCTTTATTGGTTTTTCTCTCAACTAAGTTATTTCGTGAAAGGACAGCGTCCAGTCATACTTAAAATTATATTTTTGTAAATTATTATTGTAACATTTTTAACTCTCTCATACCAGTCATTTCATAGTGTCATGCAAAACCAAAAAGTGTAGATAAAATGTTTAATACATAACAAAAGAAATCATAATATTTTGTTTCAAGAAATTTACAAATATGTCAATAATTTTTTCAATAAACAGTTCTAATATCAGTATGATTTACAAAACAAAAAAAAGGCTATTCAAATATTTGCTATGTAATTTTACATCTTAATATAAGTGGATAAACATGATATTGAAAATATAATTATGTTTAGAAATAAAGAAAAACGAACGTTGGCTTTGAAATAAAAAAGTCAAAAAGCAAGCCCGTAAACGAAACATCCCATTGAAGTGGTTTTATTAATTTTAAATGAAATGACTAATTTATAACGTTTGTATAACATAATGTTATGGTCTCAATGACTGTAACAGTGAATGGAAATATTGATTTGCGGTTAAGTAAACAATCTTGTGTTGAATAATATACATATGCTTAAGAAATCATAATATCTATTGAATCAAAATTTTTAATGATTCATGTCTACGTGCTGTGAATCACCACATTTACCCACAAAAAGGTCAAAATTCTGCTGACGTATTTTTTTAAAGCACAGAAAAGCAGAAATATATAACAGACGATATTGATTCATTCATAAAATACAGTTATATAGTTTTTGAAAGATGCATTTAAAAAATCCTCTTTGTTTTGTTTTTATGTTGGCTGAATGATACAACTCTTCTTATTTTATTAATTGGAGGCTTACTTATATATAAATTGTGGTCTGGTGCACGTATTAAAACACTTTTGTAGCGTGATTTATTGTCGCTTTATGATTTTATTCGGAGAAGTTTATAATAAATAAATAACCTGTCGTACGGGATATGATGTAATTAAAAAATCTTATATTTTCCTTAAAAATAATTGTTGAACTACAAAACAAAGATATATACAATTGATTAAACAAGATTATTTCTACGTTGTAATAGTGTTTGGTCTCAGAACGTATTTTAAAAACTAAAATACTTAGAACGCATTAATAAACAAAGTATATAATTTGCTCTACTTATACATTTTTTCTTAATTACCTATAATTTTTAGCTCCGTCAATATTCAAGCTTAATTCTTTGAGTTTTCAAAATAAACAAAGAATGTAAAATTTAATACACAGTTTTATATTCGGTTATACAATTGGCATGACTGCAACATAGAGTCAAGGACTTTGTTCAAAAATAAATGTATCTGTGGCAGAACTACTTGTTTAAATTCATTTATATGTAAAAATGTCGTTACGCTAGTCTCTAATTTATATATTTTATGACAATAGCAACAAATATGTATATACTTATATAAAGATAATGATACATTTATTACAACAAAGGTATTCATTTTATATCACATATATATGTTTACAAAATAACAATACCCAATTCTCTTCAAACAGTTCAATTACTAATATATTTTTGATAATACATAAATCTAAAACAAAAAATCACTTGTAATTCATCTCAAAATGAGGAACAAAAAACTCAGCGTCTTCCTTGTCATGATGGCCATTATTTTATTTATATTTTTATTGTTCTCTGTGAACACCAAACGATCTCTCGATATCTTCTAAACAACACATTGTTTGTTACATAAATCTGTACGTACATTATGTTAAATGTGTTATCAAACGCACTAGATAAATGTTGCGAATCAATTTTATTATTATTTATTTCCGCGGCTAGAAAAAAACTTGTATATTTTTTTATATAAAGTATGTCATTTTAATTATTTTAAGGGGTTTTCGTACTGTCATACTGAT